TGCTCTTTTCCTGATTTACGGTACCCGGAGTTGGGACAGTGGGAGAAGGGGAGCGCTGTGTGGGTGTAGGTGTATACATAAAGGACTTTGATATTTTAGTGGTGGCATTAGGCCTGAATAGCATTAAATAAACATTTTGTTTCCTTTTCACAAATCTCTGGCTTTAAGAGATGTCTTTCCAATTGGCGGCGGACAGAAGGGCCCAGTAGATTTTAGTATTCTGGTTTTAGGAGGGGCCCCTGTTGTATAGCAGTTTTGGGCATCCCTGGGTGGGCCAAATATTGTATTGCCCCTCCCTCGGACCACCACCTCCTCTTGTTCGGTAACAATGACATAGATGCCATGTCTAAGTTGTGGGTTCAGTCCCAGTCTGGGCACCAACAGGAGGCAACCAGTCGATGCTTCTCTCTGGCATCAAGGTTTCTCTCTCTCCCTCCCTCTTTTTCCAAAAGCAGTGAAAGTGTCTTCTGGTGAGGATAAAAAAAAATTTAAAGGCCCCTTACAAGGTTAGTTAATTCTTTGAGGAACACATCTATCTGAGTTTGACTTTGCTGTTTGATTAGGGCCCAGGTTTTGTAAAGTTATACGCTAATTTGTAGATTTTTGTCTGGGAGACCAGATAACTCCAAAGGTATGATTTTTCACCTCTTGTAGAACATTAACCAGTTTTATACGCAACCTAAAAATCTTACTCTATATTCTTTTTTTGAAAGTCTGTAAATACCCATTTACTCTTGGATTCAGCTGTCCCCTCCTGCTGGCTGGCTCATTAATGCGCTCATTCTGTAGTTGTATGTATCACGTTTTATAACTTCCTGAAACCACATGCTGACGCCCCCTTGTCGCAGCAGCACTCACGCACGAACCGAGAGCACCAGATGCCCCAGCTCCCTCACAGACCCTGAGCTCACAAGAATGTGGCTCATCTTGGGTCAACATTGTGGCCTCAGAATTTTTACACAGGGTCAGGTTCGCAGTAGCCTCTGGAGAAATCATTATTGGCTGAATGAGTGATCTTGAGCTTACCTCTTTACTGTTCAGAGCCCCAGTTTTTTATCTATGAAATGGACACCATGGCACCCATCATACAAGCAAAGGGTGTGCAGGGTCAGTGAAATAAAGAATTCAGGTGCCTGGGATGCACCAGGTGTCTGGCACATGGTGGCCGTCAGTTCCCCGGCCCCTCCCCCGGGGGCTGGATCCTAATGGTAGAAAATGAAGTTGTGTTGTTGGGGACGTCACAGTCTGGTTGGGGAGGCACTAAGTCATCGTGGGGTGACTCACTGTGGGGCCAGGGCAGTCACAAGGGCGTCCACCAGTGTTTGATGGGACAGAAGACTAGCCTGGCTGGAGAGTCCAGTTTGGGCTGGGGAAGAGCAGGAAGTACCTGTGAAAAGGTCGGGTGGGGTGAAGGAAGAGGACCCTGAACACCAGGCTGCATGTTGGCGTGGCCGACGTTGGGAGAGGAGCCCAGCCTGATGAGGGAGGGAGGGACCTGATGTGATTGTCTCAGCCAGGAGAGGAGGCCCGCTGTTGTCCAGCTCCTCTGAGACCCTGACCTTGTGGGGTGCGTGTGTGAATGTGTGGATGTGTGTGGTATGTGGTATGTGAGTGTGAGTGTCGACGGATGTGATCGTGAGAGTGTGTGTGTTTGTGTGGGCGTGGACGTGATTATGTGCTTTATTGTATGTGAATGTATGCAAGTATGGGGGTGTGTGTGAGTGTGGGGGTGTGAATGCATGTATGTGTGTGTGAATGCATGTGGTGTGTGTGGTGAGCGTATAGAGGTGTGTGTGTGGGGGTGTGAGTTGGCTGCTGTCTGCACCACCCTATTGCAAAGGGTCTTAGACCCAGATTCCACTTCACCTTATTAGAAGTCCCTGAGGTACAGGCATCTACTGTCCCGTTCCTCAGGTGACCGAACCAAGGCTCCGAGGTGAGGCTGTTTGCCCAAGGTCGCAGGGTGAGGACTGTGTGTGCAGCTGCCTCTGTGACCCCAGGGAAAGGGGAGGCGGGAATCCGGTGGGAGGGGAGAGTAAGGAAGGGAGTCTCAGCAGATGAAGAGATGACAGATAAATGGTTTATTCTCGCAGCTAGCCTTGGTCTTCATGCCCAGTTTGGCACTTTTGCGGTTTCATGTGCTATTTTGGTCACTGGATGCTATCTTTCAAGAGAAGTCAGCAGCTCTCCCTGACGCTCTCGTGGGAGCCAGGCCCTGGGCGGGGCTTGGGGACCGCAGAGAGAGTGTTGACACCATCTCGGAGAACCTGTCTGGTGGGGGCAGGCATCAGAGTTGGGGAGTGGAGTCCCCAGGGGGACAGGGCACTAGTCTTAAAACTTTGAGGTATAACATACACACAGGGAATTGCAGACAAGTTGAGCCATCACTGATGGATTTCTACATCTGCAACCCCACCACTCGGAGGGAGATGCAGGGCCGCGCTTTGCCCAGAGGGCCCTCCGGCTCCTCCCCTCACAGAATCCTCCGAGCATGGCCTCTCTCTGACCTCCGTCCCCAAGGTTTGGCCTGGGTTTGGACATCTGGGGCACATGTGTTTTTCAAAAGCATTTACAATTTCATAACCTTGCATTCAGAAAACGAATCTGGATCCTGGTTGAGCACCTGGCTGTGGTTAAGGATGGGTGCAGTGGGGACCCAGTCCTGGCAGGCTAAGCCCTGGGGTGGCCCGAGGGCACACCTGCTGTCTGACGGTCAGGCAGGTGACCGGGACAACCCTGATGTTTTTATCTTTGGGGGTGAAACAATGTGGTGTTTCCTGCCTCCTTGTAGAGCTCACAGCACCCCAACACTGTCTGAAGACCCCCTGTCTCTCCAGCAACCCCCACCTGCCCATCCAATGCCCACCCACACCTGCAGCTGCACCCCTCCTTGGATAGCCGCCCTTGAACAAGATACTAAATCTCCCTGTGCTCTAATTTCTCTCTGAAACTGGGGGTAATCATAGTGTCTACCTTACAGGTTTGTGGAGAAGATGGCGTGAATTGATATTCAGTAAGTTAATATTTGCACAGAACTGAAGAGACTGTGGATACACAGTAGGTGCTTATGTAAAAATTAAATACAATAAACAAACTCGATCCCAACGTACCTGCTGGGAATATGCTAGGAGGCACAGGGGCTTTTACAGCTGGGCACTAGGATCTTGAGGAAGGACAGATTTTCCCGATTATCAGGTAACGTGGGCAGGAGCGTCTGGGTCTTCTGGGGCGGGGGGTCCCTACCGCTCCCCTTGGCACAATGCGGAACCGGAGAAGGTGTCCGACAAATGCCGGGTGCCTGGCGGGTGTGCTGGCAGCTAGGATGAGGGTCGCTTGGCTCCTGTCAACGTTCATTTCGCCTGCCAACCTGCAGCCCTGGAGACCTGAGCCGCGGAGAAGCCGGGCCCAGGTGCCGCGGGAGGTTCACCCCCCGAATCTCCTTGCCTGGACACACAGTTCTTCACCCCCACCTTCCCAGAAAACAGAAGGCATTTTTTCCGCCCACTCAGCCTTGGATGCGCGCCGGGAACACCTCATCCGGCGCACAGCACACAGATTTCACAGAGAGCTGAGTTCTCCTTCACAGCCAAGGTCCCAGCCTGTGAGGCTGGTGACCTCTGAGCCCGGTAGGAGGTTCTTTGCCTCAGGTGGTCCCTGCTCACAGGAACCAGGCCAAGGGCTCAGGGATGTTCCTGGTGCTCTTCCGGAGGAGTCGCAGGGCATGGACCTGGGTGGGGGTGGGGCCTGAGTCGTCTCAGAGTTGAGTGGTTTGAATTCCTGCAGCTATGAGTGGCAAATCCCTGGCCGGCTTAAGGTTCCTTGTGTGAGATTGGTCAAGTTGTGTCTGTTGAGCCTCAGTTTTCCTTGTCTGCAAAATGGACACGGGCACTGCCAATAGGGCTGAGAATTAAATACAGTGGTACAATGTGGTGGGAAAGAGCCAGATTCCTCGGGCTCTAGCCCGGGCTCTGCTACGGGACATTGGGAAATAATCTAACTTCTTTGTGCGTCAGTCTATTCCTCTGTAAAATGTGGGCAAGAGCTCCTACCTCACATGGTGGTGGTGGTGGGGTGTTAAATGAGTTAATAACTGTAAAGCACTCGGCATATCACTTACTGTGTTGCATAGTCAGTGACGACACCTGATGTGTCAATACTAGCTCAGAGGTTAGAGGTGGGGCGCTAAAGTCAGACAGCGGGTGGTGAAGTCCCAGTAACACTACTCATTAGCTGTGTGACCCTGTATAAATTCCATGACCTCTCTGTGTCTTGTTTATAAGTGAGGTCAATAACATTACGTACCTCGAGTTGTAGAGGGTTGTAAGACTTAATAAAAAGTGCCAGCATACAGTAAGCGGTAAATATAACTGCTGTTAGTATTATTAATACACTAACGGAGAAAAGGTAAGGAAGCTGACATTTACTGAACACCTGCCCTGGACTAGTATTTGGTATGAGTCATCTGGCAAGGATATTGCAGGACCAATATTAGGTTTCTGCAGTTGGTAGAGAAGGAAAGTGAGGTTTTGCTTGTCTAAGATCCCACGGGTGGTGAGGGGAGACCAGACCCTGATGTGCAATGATTGGTGGTGGGGGAGACCCAATGCTTAGTGAAGGAGCGACTGTCCTAGCATAGGGACCCATGACCCCTTGATCCCCTACAGGGACCGCGACTGGGTTGCTACTATTTTCACAATGCTGATGATGGACGGGCCTAAGTCGTCTCGGAGAGTTGAGTGGTTTGGATTCCTGCAGCCACGAGCTGCAGAGTCGATCTGAACTCAGCTGTCTGTTGGAATTTGCTTAGGCAGGCGTCTCGGGCACCACCTCACACTGACCCTCTCTGGGCCAGGGAAACATGGTCTGTGCGTCTATTTAAAACCCAAGATTGAGGACCAGATGCCACGATCACCGCCAAACCCTAGGGTCACCTGTGACCTTCTCTCCCGGGGACAGGAGGACACACTCAGACAGACAAGGACACTCCACACCCAAAGGGGTCATTGTTACCCAGAAATCTTTATTACAAAAATATTTTGCAAGCCAAAAAGTTTAAGTTGCAACTATATACAAAATGGGGCCTGTTCCCTTCCCAGCAGTCTTAAAATAAACTCTCAGAACCACGCTCCTTCCGCACTGTCGTTCCGACCTCTTCCTTTTCCTGGGGTTCGATACACAAGGTATGAGAATCTCCAGGCTGCCAGTCTGGAGCTCCAACCACATGGCTTCCTTGGCCTCATCCCCTTACTCCCCTTCCGAAATTCACAATTAAATTAAATTAAAATGGCACCAAGAAAACATTCTTTTAAGATTCTGTGTGAGTGTGTCTGTGTGTGTGTGCACGCATTCTCTCTGGGCAGAAGAGAGGGAGGCAAAGGTTTACAAGCCAACCTTCTGGAATTTGGAAACAGCCCGAGCCAGGTGGCTGGGAAGCTGCTCCCAGATGTCACGGAGAAACTCTAGCTCGTCGGGCCAAAGCTGCCCACATGGCCCTTTGGCTCGGCTCCTTCCTGGAGGCCATCAAGCAAAACATCGAATCACTATCCTCCGCAGAGCCGGGTCTGCGCTGAGTGTCCCGAGTTCCCCCTGCAGGTCATGCTGACGGGCGGGACGGCTCAGTTTCTCGCCTGCTCTGGTGGCCTGAGCCAGCTACCCCCTGGGCACTGAGCATCTGAACCTGGGTGGGGACGGGCAGCGACAATTAGCATCTCGGCTTTAAGATCGGTTGTGTGTGAAGACTGAATACACGGCGTGCCACACTGGCTTGCCCGGGGCCCAGCCGGGCTCCTACACCGAAATGGAAGGTGGGGGTCAGAGGACAATGGATCACAGCCTCTGCCCAACCTCCTGAGACAGAGGGACAGAAAGGTGGGCCAGTCCTGGCTTCGCGGCTGCCCAGGCCACCTGTCTGTCTTGGATTTATTCCAGTTTGATCCCGATAGGGTTTGAGAGTGGAAATGGAAGATCACTCACTTCTGCGCTCAGAGAGTGGGAGTGGGGGAAGGTCGCTAACGGAGTCGGGGAAAAGCCAGGCGTAGCTTCTTACCCTGCATGGCCCTAAAGTGCGTATGAGGAATGGTGGTGGGGGGGAGGCATCGCTCCTCTCCCCTCTTTTCAGGTGAGCGGACTGAGGCATCAGGTCTCGACAAGACCGCAAGGTGACGGCGGCAGCCCGGAGCAGCACTGGCAGGTGCAGACTTACCACGCTCGGGGCAGGAAGGCCGGAGCACCAGCCCCTTGGCTCAGCTGACGACGTGGCCAATTGAGTCCTGGAAAGAAGGCTAAGCATCTCCACGGAGCAGCCAAACCGGAGCCTTCGTCCCCGTCCTCGGGGCTCTGGGACGCGGAGGAAAGACACTTTCTGCTGTAGGAAACTCCCTCCAGGAAACCGACGGGGACACCTTGGACGGCACGAGACCCAACCGTGTACTTAACACATGACAAGGAGCCAAGATAATGCTGCCGTTGTTTTAAGAGAAAAACAAAACAAAACACCACGGATCAAATTTTCTAACACCTCAGTTTCAAGATTGCACGTTTCACATGTATCAATAATTTACAGGCGTCCACAGCGAGATGTTGCTGAGTTAGTGCTAGCTGGAGGAAGCAAGCTCAGGTTTGGGAAGGAGAGGCAGGTCCAGGTGGAGTGTCACCGTCAGGGCGCCGGGTCCTCCAGGAGCCTCGGGGGGCAGGAGGAGGAGGGTCTTGTGACTCAGTCCTTGGTGGCGGTGGAGGACTCCTCGGAGGGTCCTCTCCTCCCCAGGGCTTGTGACTTGTCAGTCCAGGGACACGGGAGGCCAGGACGGCTGGCAGCAACCTCACTGAGTCTCAGGATGTGGTCCCAGAGGTTCCTTTTTTCCTAGCTTCTCCATGAATGGGACGGTTTGATCGCAACAGAACTCTTCCCAAAGTCCCCGTTGGATGGTGGTGGTGGTGGCGGTGGCGGCAGGAGGAACAGGTGGGGTTTTCCTCCTCACCTTGGAAGATCAGGCTGCAGAGCATCAAGGAGGCTGTCAAGGATCACTAAGACCATGACCAAGACCGATGGTTGATGGAGAGGAGCGTGAGAGTGCTGGGACCCCTGGCTGCTCTGGCCGCTTACCAGGTGCGTTCCCCGGCCAGTCTGGCAGCGTCAGCCTCTGTGTGTGGCAATGTGGGGGGCTGTGGCCACCCCGGAGAGCCAAGCAAGTTGGGGAGACAAGAGCCAGCTTCACCCTTGGGTCCCAAGACCTGTGCCACCACAGCCCTCTGGGGACCGGGCTGCCGCCCCACTGGGACGGGCAGGCTCACGGGCACCGAGCCAGAGATGACCGAGGCCCCGCTCACTTCCTCTGGACCTGGACGCTGGCATACTCTGAGTGGGACGGCTCGGGCTTGGGGGCGGGCTGCTTGGGGACCCGGTTGAGGTGGACCATGTCCAGGTCCGCGTAGGTGAGGGTGTCCTCGGGCGTGGGCTGCCGGACGGCCTGGATGCTGGCGTACTCCGTGTGGTTGTTGGACTCGGCCACCCGGGGGGCCGACTTCTTTCTCTTGGGCAGGTTCAGGTCTGCATATGTGATGTCGTTGTTGTCCTGGATCTGAATGGGATGGAGAGAAGGTCAGTCCGGAGCCCCCGCCCCTCACCCCGCATCGGTACCAAGTCTGGGTGCCTGTTTACTCTTGGCTTCCACCTGACTCAGCCATAATTCACACCCGGCTCTTCTCTGGCGAGGTTACCTGCTCCAGCCTTGCCCTTCCGACCCACCTCCCTCCTCCCACAGCCTGAGGGTCTTCTTGCAGGCCACTGCGGTCACCTCCCAGTGCTGACTCAGTGTTACCTCCTCCCATGGCTCTGTCCTGCCTTGTCAATCAATACTCCTGCTTCAGCATGGTGCCTGCCCCCTCCTCCTCCTGGTAATGAATTCACCCAGCCTGGATGTTTGGGGACAGGCTTTGCCTCACCCCGAGGAGACCCAGGGTCCAGGATCCTCCTCTGTGCTCTCTCAGCCCACGCTTCTCCCTCACAGCACCCACCACGTAGGACTGCGTCTGCCTGGGGGTCTGGGGAAATGCTGACCCCTCAGTGGACGGGACATTCATTCATTGAGCCGTTTATTCAACAAGTACTCACTAGACATTTGTTATGATACAGAGACCAAGGCTGACACAAAAGCAGCCAGATCGGTGTTGAATGAACGAACGAACAAATGGATGGATGGCAACAACTTCGGCCTCACTCACAGGGTGAGGCTCGGAGGTGGGGGCAGAGAATAAGGGTGTGACGAGTGAGACCGGTTAGGAGGGTGGGAAAGGTGCCCGGGGTTTAGCTCCTGCTTCTGCTCTCTCCAGCTGAGAGGCTTTGGGCAATTCACTTCACCTTCCTGGGCCTCAGATCCCCCCATCTGTAAAGTGGGAATAATCATCCTATATATCATCAGGGTCGCTGTGAGGCTCGGGCGAGACCCTTAGGGAAGCCCTTGGGATGAAGCCCGGCACGCACCGAATGGGCACGTGAGTTCAGTAAGTGGTGTGGTCGTCAGCCACCAGCAAACCCCACAACCGCGCCTTGAAATTCCCCATCAGGAGCGATAAACGGCTTCTTCTGCGCCTGGCACCTGTGCCGCAGGGGTGGGGAGGAGCTGCCGATGGGGCAAGTCCTGCTGGGTGCACAGGGACAGCCGTAGATCTCTGGCCCCTACAGCTGCAGGCGCCATGCTGCTTGCTGCCAGGGGGGCCCCTTACTTAGGCCCGGTCACCACCCTGCTCAGGAAGGACGACGTACCCCATTTTACAGGTGACAGGACTGAGACCCAGGGAGGTTAAATAACTTGGTCAAAGTCACCCAGCTGGAGAAGAACCAAAGTGTGCTGGCTGCTAAAGCTGTGGTCTGACCACACGGCCGCTCTGCCCCAGGCCCTGCACACTTGCGCTTCTCTCTAGGAAACCCGCGCTGCCAGCATCAAAGGCCCTCCCGGCGAGGAGGGCTGGCCCCTGGCCCCAGGAGCACCGACACGAGGCAGCAAGCGCCTCACAAGCTGCATTGCAACTGCCCCGCTGATTGCCCAGGGCCTGGCACATAGTAGGTGCTCAGCAAGTCTTCGCTGACTGAATTTTGTACAGGGTTCAGTGATTGGGGCAGGTGCATTCTTTCCCCCAGAAGGTTCCAGAGGTAAAATGACTGGGAAGAAGGCCCCCTTCTCCCATGACTGGAAGTGGCCTTGTTGTTCTAATTACCTCCTGATCTCACTCCCAGGGCCCCTGGGGGGCCACGCTGGGTCAGGAGAACAGGGCACGGCATTTGGGCCTACAACCATCATGTCTCTCACCAGCCCCAATTCCCTTCAACAGATTATCTGTAAAACGATGACAACAGCCAGGGAAATGTCAAGGACAGCTGGTGTTCGTTTGTTCCAGGTCCGGGGCAGCGCCTGTCTTGTTACAAGACGCAGGGGAGCCCTCTGCCTCCGAGGCCTGACAGCGTCAGCCGGTGCGGAGCAAGGCAAGGGAAGCAGGCCAGCCACCCGGCCTGTGAAATCTCCTCAGCAATGGCGCGGAGATGTTGCCAGCTGGAGGGAGCGCGTCCTCGCAGGAGGTAATTAAAGACGCGAGGTCTCTCCGTCAGAGAGAGGGACCGGCAGCGCAGTGTGTCACTCTACGGGAGGGGCCCAAGGACGGGCGAGGGGTGAGCTGGGCAGGGTGCCCCTGGTGGAGGGATGGGCCTGGCCACAGGCACACAGGCAGGAGCGCACCCTCCACAGAACGAAAGGCTGCAGCCTGACTCCATTTACATAGAACACACTGTGAAGGGCGCCCCCTGGAGTTGTGCAATGGGTGGCGATGAGTCAGGGAGGTGGAGACAGACCTCCTGGGCTGGAACAGAGGGAGAGAATGTGCAGAGAACAAGGGGAAATTGAGGGATGTAAAGATCCTCCACCCTCCGCACCCTCCCGCCCGGGAAAGGAGTCTTAATTTAGAACAGAATCTGCAACTCCAGCTGGTGTAAGAAATCACACCATCAAGTTTCCCAGGAAGGGCACCTCGCCGAGGACTGTACCTGGGTTGTTTCTCTGGCGTTCTTCTCGGGCTCGTGCAGCCTAAAAAGGAAAGAGACGCACAGATAAAAATACCCTGCCTGTCTCGAGTGCTCATGTAAATTGATAAGAATAACACGGAGGTCCCACTTCCTGTTTGGGTGGAGGACGAGGAGGAGCGTTGCACCACAGAAATAACCACCGCTCAGCAAATGTCCGGACAAATGGGCCCGGCTCACAATAAGGGAATTTTAAGCAACGCGCTGCCAAATTTTTTAGCCACTCGATCGGCAAGGATCTTTAAAAATTCCAATATTCGGTGCCAGGGACGATACGGTGAAACTGACACTTTTGTGCATTGCTGACAGGAGGGTAAAAGGGGCAGCGGCCCTTCTGGGAAGCAGCCTGGGTCAGCGAGTCAAGAGCTGGAAGGAGTCCTCATCTCGAGACTCACGGTTGCATTGGGGGCGGGGGGAGATTCAAAATAGAGAAAAAGCTTTATGCACAGAGGGGCTGGCGCTGGGTGGGGTGGGAGGGTGGTCTCCATCTTATAGCTCTGCCAGTTGGGAGCGGTTAAGGAAACTGGGATAGACTGGTAGATCAAGATTTAAAAGGTTTATGAAGAGGTTCCTTTTTTTTTTATGACAAATGATTACATCCAAAGATAAGTGAAAAAACAAAATTCTCAGTGGAGTGATCTCAATTATGAAAAATGTGTGGACAACGCTGAGAAAACAGTAAAATGCTAACAGCGGTGATCTTTGGGTGGTATTTTTCCTTCCTTTTCGTTTCCCATGCTCTCCAACTGTTCCACAGTGTACACATCCAGGTGTTTTCATTAAAAAAAGAAGAGCGAAGGAGCAAGTGTCCTGCTTAATCAAAGCAGCCATTCATGCACTTGATTCTGTAATTGAAGGCCCTGGCCCGGTTCACTGCAGGGTCGTAATCAAGGTGGTGAGCAAAGCAGAGCCTCCGGTTCTGCAGGGGTTGTACAAATTCTCGAGCTGCAACTCCGGGGACATTAGCTGGATAATGTCAGAAGTGAGCAATGGGCTTGGCAGCGGATTCACATTCAAGTCCATATGAATGGATTTGGCATGAGTGCCCGGCTCAGAAGGCAGTTCTGGGCCATGATGGGTCCGTCGTGGCCGCAGGAACGACCCTCTAGGAGCAGGGACACCGTCTAGAAGGAGGATCACGCAGGTCTATCCACATCCCACCTGCTTCCAATCCTTCTGGGGCTCCCACTGCCTCAGGTTCAAGTCCAGCTCAGCATCCTGCTCATAAGCCCCATGTGGTCTGGCCCCTACTGACCACCCCCACCCCAGACCATTCGCTGCCCTGTCCCCATTTCCCCACTTATCCACTCATCAAATATTTCTTTTTCTTTTTTTCTTTTTCAATCCTCACCTGAGGACATGCTTAGTGGGGAAGGGAGGGAGAAAGAAAGGCAGAGAAACATTGATCGGTTGCTTCTTGCACGCACCTCGACTGGGGGCTGAACCCACAACCTAGGTGTGTAACCTGACACACCTAGGAATCTGGGAATCAAACCCATGACCTTTTGGTTTATGGGACGATGCTCCAACCAACTGAGCCACACTGGCCAGGACTCCACCCACTGAATATTTCAAGGGAACTACTTCATGTGACACACTTTATGTATCAACAACAGCCTGAGTGACCCTGTTGACCACTCTTTCTCTTGGTGAACCTGTGTGCCATTTGAGACTCAACTAGGCATCATGTCCTTGGGGAGGCCCCTCTGGCAGTGATGTGCTCACCGGGCTGAACCTCCGTGACCATTTCAAAGCTCCGTAAATGTTTTCCCAGCTGGTTCACGGGTCTGTCTGTCTGCCCATCTTGCTTCCTTCCCATATCGGGGCTCAAAGAGTGCTCAAGAGCACCTTGGGAGGAACGTCAGTCCGACTGCCTCAGGGCCTTTGCACACTTGCCTCTTCATCTGGTTAACTCCTCTTTGCTCAGATCCTGTTTCAAATAGCCCTTCCTCCAGGAAACCTTCACGGAACCCAGCTCCTTCCTCTGAACACTGGGTTCCTTTGTTTCAGAGCGATGTCTCGGACTGGAAGAAATTAGCCCTTGTTTCGTGCCGTCTCTTCTCTAGTCTCTCCTGTCTTGATTACTCATCCCTGTGCTCGGGCTAAAGAAGTGGGAGCCGCCCGAGTCTCCTCTCTCCTCCTTTACAACCCACGTCCAATCCACCACAAGGTTTGTTGACTCTGCCCCAAATACACATCGAACCCACCACCCCATCACCTCCACTGTCCCAGCTCCCAGATTCCTGAGGAGCCCGCTCCCTGTGTTCCTGCTTCTCTTCCCGCCTCTCTGCATACCGTTCTCCACATGTAACATACATGAATGATGTCATATCATTTTGCTTCTCAAAACACTCAGCCCCTTCCCCACACAGTGAAGTCGTCTGCGTATCCTGAGGGGCGAGGGCCGCACGACCTGCCCCCAGTCTCTCACCTTCTCCCTCTGGCTCACTGCACTCCAGCTGCCCTGGCTTCCTCCACATCCATGAACATCCCCACCTGCTCCTGCCTCGGGCCTTGGCACTGGCTGTTCCCTCTGCCTGGTCCACTGGTCACTATTGCGCCAGATATCCCTATGACTGGTGTCTTCTTGTCCTTCAGCTATCTTCCAAACGTCACCTCCTTAGGGAAGCCTTCCCTGATCACCCACCATGCCCCACCCCACCTCCTGCTCAGCTCTGTGCCCAGCTTTATTTGATTTCATTGACACCTGCATCACACTGTGTATTAACCTCCTGGCTCGTTTGGTCACCTGCCTCCCGATGGACCGTGGTCTCCATGTGGGCAAGGACTAGGCCTATCTATTTCACTGGGGCCCTGACACCCCGTAATGGGCCGGCACATCATCAGCAAGCTGTAAATATTTGAGGGATGAATGAATGAATGGATGACCATCTCTCCCATTGGATCAGAAGTGCCATGAGATTGGGGCTAGCATCTTTTTTGCTCCCCTTTGCAATCCCCCAGCTCAAGGCCTGGCACTGAGCTGGGCTCGGTCAAACGAATAAACGAAACTATCAGGGAAGCCCTAGATATTCCGAGGATAAATGCAGAGAATGTCTGACAAGTGAGCAAACGGCCGACCAAATGCACCCCAGTGCCCAATTGAGGGAGCAGGCACGTTCTGCTGCCGTCTGAGCTGGGGGGAGATTGCAGACAGTGTTCTGCCTGTGCGTGCCTGACCTAGGGAGCTGCACACAGCCAATCCCTGCACCGGCTCTGCGCCCTGCAGGGCCCTTTGAGCTCAAAGCGACGGCATCCCCCTTGGCACTGTCCCTGCGGTGCTCAGCGCTACCCATGCCAACCTCCTCTAAAAAGCGTCTGATCCCAGCCAGCCCAGCGGAAGCGGCTGCTACATGGGAAACCACCATTACCGCTTGCGAGCTATCACTTTGGTTTAGAGAGATGAAAGGGAGCAAGTGATCAGCCGGCTCCCTGTGTAGGCTCACACTGGAAAAACACAAAACAGGCGGAAAATGGCTAGCTTCTCAGGGGAAGGAGAAATAAGGCAGGGTGCAGATAAAGTGCGTCAGCCTCAGTGTCAGAGAGACCAGGAGGGAGCCGAGCACCCACACTCACTGGCTGTGGGACCCAGGGAATGCCACACGGCTCCTCTGAGCCTCAGTTTCCGCAACCGCACACAGGGGCAATAAAAACCTTCTGGAAAAGGGTTCTCCACCTCTGGCTCCGGAACAGTGGCATAAGCACCACCAGAGAACTTGTTAGAGATACAAATTCTGCACCAGAAACTCCGGGGGTGGGGCCCGGATATCTGTTTTAACGAGCCCTCCAGAGGATTCTGCTGCACACTCAAGCCTGAGAACCCCTGCTCAATTAAATTAGGATAATAGTAAATCATAGGGTTTTTGCAATAATTAAAATCACCTTCAGGCTTATACAGGCAAAGGTGTGGATGGGTTCCCGGGACCAGTGAGCACTCAATAAATGTTAGCTGCTGATGCTGTTATCGTTATTATTATTGACACTGCCCTTTTCTTCTAGAACTTAATTGTCTAATTGGGGAGATAGGGCAAATCAAAACTAATGATAATAATAAAAACAAAACAAAAAAGAGAGATACTTTCACATCTGGGGCCGTGAAGCCACTGAGAGGGAGTTTCAGGGGTTCAGCGGAGGAGGAGATGGATACTGTGCGGTGGTTTGGGACGGCCTTAGTTCGTTCATTCACTCGTTCGTTTAACGAACCTTCACGGGGCACCTACTGCATTCCATGCCTAGTGCCACGTTCCGGAGCTCTTGGCAGTGAACGTGAGGGGCATGATCCTGCCCTCAGGAGGGGTGGGCTCCAATCTGGGGACAAGTGCAGAGAACACGCCAGGATGTGAAGCAGGGGCACCAGGAGGGTTCACACGAGGGGCTCCCTGTACTGGAGGAGATGATGCCCAGAGGAGCCCAGAGGAGGAGCAGGAGGTAACCAGGCGAGAGGAGGGGTGCCCACTCTAGCTTCCCTGTTGCACAACTCCAAGGGGCGCTGTTCACAGAGCCCACTGTGACTGCTGGCCCCTGGGTGGCGAGTGAGCAGGAGTGGGGGAGCACGTCTCAGAGAGAGGCCAGCGTTTGGGACTAGGAGGGGAGGGAGGAAGTCACAGGGTGGCCGAGCCACAGGATGCGAACACTGGGGAGAGGCCAGGAGTGACACTGTCTGTGTCAGCAGGGACTGGACCATGAGGGGCTGAGGGCCTCAGCAGGGCATCTGGACCATCTCGAGGGCCACGAGAGCCACCAAAGGCTTTTAGACAAAGGATGGAAGCCAAATCTTGCGCTTGCAGAAGAACGTACTTGGTGTGCACCCAGAGGACTGTCCCCGGCCCGTCCCCACCCTTGGCATTTTCCTTGACTCTGCATCCAGTCCATCAGCTAGTCCTCTTAGCTACACCTCCAAAATATACCTGGAATCTGACCATTTCTCAGCCCATCCTACCACCTGGGCTGAGGCCACCATCACCTGCTCAGACCACTGCCAATGCCGCCTCCCTGGCCTCTCTGCCCCCACCCTCATCCCCTGTAGCCGGGTCCCCACACGACACTCAGGGTGACGCTTCTAAAACAAAAGTCAGATCATCTCCCTCCCATGGCTCCTCATCCCCCCCAGAGTAAAGCCCGAGGTCCTGGCGGCCACAGACCCTAGACCACTGGCCTCTGCTGCAGACCCTCAGGTCCTGCTCTCTAATCAGAGACCCACAAAGCTGCAAAAGGTTGAAAACCTGCAAAATCCACTGGGTGGCAAAACCTGACCTAAACCAGCACAAAGCTATTCATGGTTTTTATTTATTGCTCTCAGTACAGATGTTCACATATTTCCAAGCAGGTGCATCTATGTAATAGGTTGTGGGGTGCTGCTTCTATTCTGCTGGGCTGAACATTGGAGGCCTCTTGAAAGCCGACAAGTCTGGATGAGTAACACATCCAGCTGCATGGGCTTCAGCGAAGAGCCTGTGGACGGGCACCTCCTGCCCTTCCTCTCGGTACTTCTGCCCCAGCCACACAGGCCTCCTGGCCCATCTCACTGGGGGCCTTGGCCACACCTGCTCTCCTGCCTGCACACTCCTCTGCTTCATGGCTGCCTAGCTCTGCAGCTGGCTCACACATCGGAGGCCCTGCCCTGAATCTCCACCCCTTTGCTGTTTGGTTCGTCACCACCTGACAGGACGTGAGGCATCATTTTACCTCTACCCTTCCTGCTGCTTCTCCCACTAGTGTCTGAACCCCATTGAGGTCCGGGCTGCTTTCCGTCACTGCTGTATCCCCAGCACCCAGAACAGAGCTGGCACACAGTAGGGACTCAGTACAAATCACTGAAAATATGAAGCAACAAACCAAGGCACCATCTGTGACATAATGTCATTGACTTAGCCTCTGACCAGGGCACGAGCTTCAGAAGGGCACAGATGCTTTCTGTCCTCCCCACCCGGCGTTCCAGGGCCACCCGTGCCAAGGCACTCAACAAGTGTTTAATGAATGAGGGAAGGGCAAAGTGTACAACTTAGATCTGGGGGCTGTGTGTGCAGGAGGCTTCTGCCACCATTCGGACAGGATTTCGTAAGAGTCTTGCTGTCTCTGGACAGCGGGCAAGAACTTGGTGCCTCTGGGCACGGAAATCCCCTCATCTGAGGCAGTAATTAAAGAACGGGCCTGGCACGGGGCACTCACAAAGGGAAGACACGGAAAGGTCGTCTGGCCCAGGTGTGGGGCTCACCGTGGATTACGCTTTTCAGCTCTGGGGCTGTCAACCGGCTAAATAACAATTGCAAAAGCACCCCAGCCCGGGAGGCACTTACCTTGTAGAAGAAGTGGAGCCCTTGGCTGAAAGAGAAAAGAAACAAAAGCCAGTTACTCACGCTGGACATTTACTTTTCTTTTATACAACTTTGCGGGGGTGGGGTGGGCAAAGTTTCGCCTCCAGCGACACTGGGAGAAACTGTTGAAACCCTACCCTCCCAAGCTCACCCCAGTGGGGTGCTCCATTATCTTCCATTGAGGAAGACCAGGAGCTGGCCCTTCCTGCTTTCTCACCTCTGGGAGTTGCCAAAGGTCAGGTCCCCAAGCAGCCTTCAGCCTGGGAGGAACCGCACCCCTGCCCTAGCTCTGGTCCGGGTTTCCCCACACCCCTCCCCTGAGGCCCTGCGTCAGCCCGGGGCCCAGTCGTGGCCTTTCTCTGCTTCGGGACAGACTCTAGCGGGGCTGTGACCTGGGGAGCAGGCGTGAATCCCACTGCTGCTGCTGCCGCCTAGCTCGCTGTATGACCCAGATGGGTCGGTTTTCTCCTCTGAGCATGGATTTCAGGTCTCTCACTCACAGGACTGGGCTGGACACTCATTTATTTTCATGTCACCACTTTCCCAAAAAGGATCTTGGGCAGAAAGAAGGGATCCATCTGGTGCAGAGATTTTTAAACCTGTGATGTGGGGCATCCCGCAGAGAAGCCGCTGGGGTTCTGCCACCACTTGACTCGAATTCCACTGCAAAATTGTAATTAAAAAGCAACACGCACTACTCAGATGTGCTCTGCGCCTCGTGTGAGCAGGCGGGAGGCTGCCTCGGTGCAGACCTATTCGTGTGCTGCCTGGGCACGTGTTCGGATTTCTAGGTGAGCGGGTACCAGTTGGGAAGGTCCAGAGCTCAGCATCTAACATCTCAGTGGAGAATGAGGGTGGTAAAGTGCTGGGACACAAGCTGTGTCAGGGAGTTCAATGACTGATCACCCCCATTTCACACCAAAGACTGTGGGTGACTCCTTACAGTCACACAGCTGGTAACTGGTAGAACTAAAATGAAGATATTTCAGTGCATTGAGGTAGAGGGATGGGTGGGCCCTTCCAGGGACCAAGGAGAGAGAAGGAGGCTTGTCATGAGGGTAGAAGTGATGCACAGAGTGGTCCCTGAAGACTCACTGCCAAGATTTGAACCCTGACCCACCATGTATCAGGTATGAAGCCTTTAGCGAGTTTTGCAACTTTCCTATGCCTCAGTTTGCTCACCTGTCAAATGGGGCTAATAATACAGAATTCTGCAGAGAGAACAGTGCCTGACATGTCTGAGGGGCTGAATGAGTGCTGGCTGCCACTGTCCCCAGAGCCTGTGTTTGAGAGCAGGGCTCTGCACACGTACAGGCCCACCCCTTGGGGGCTGGGTGGTCCACACCCATGTCTGCAGCTCTCCAAGGCCCCACACCTCCCCTGGAACACCTGGCCATTGGGGCCTAAGCCCCTGGTAATGAGCTCACATAAGCAAGAAGTGACATGGTGTCCAGGGACGAGGTCTCGGACGAGGGGCAGGATTTCACTAATAGCCACTGTGAACACTCCATCCAATGGGCTGGCTTGTCACTCTTGGTGGGTGAGGAGTCCCCCCTGTGTGTGGCTCTCCAGGAACTGTAGGGAAACCACTGGGTGGATTGCTTGCAAAAGTTCTTCCAGATCCCAGAGTCACAGGGCCTGACTCTAGACCTCCTGGGCAGGTGGCTGGAGATCCTGCCAGCACTCACAGCTACGTCCTTCCAGCCGGCCCAGGAGGGAGGGGCACCCTGGGGGTGAGGGGTGCAGAGGAGGTGTGGGGCTGATGCACCACATGCCCCCTCAAGCACAGACAGGCAGCTAAGGACAGCACCTCGCACTCTGCAGGCTGTGGCACGTGGTAGTTCGCTGCCAGCATTTTTAAGAGACCTTAGTATAGAAGATGACAAAAAAGAAAATATCAGAGTTCTAATTTTATCTCCTGGGGTGTGTATGTGTCGGGTTGACACATGAAATGTATTTCTATCACTTGTAGTCAAATGAGTTTCAGACACACTGGCTAAAAATTGTTTCCTTCGAAAGTAAGAAAGAAAACTTGCATTTTCTGAGGCCCAAGAACGCATCAGAGCTGTTCTTTCCCATGAGCTTCTTTGGTTTTGTAACTACCCTTCAACACAGGAACTGCTGCACCCATTTTACAGGCGAGGAAACTGAGGCTTGTGGGGGCCAAACCGATTGCTCAGAACCTATAACAACACTGGTTTGTCTGACTCCAAAGTCAGAGGCTTTGCCACAGTGGGAACTACACAACTACACGGTGCACATGAGCACACGCAGGGCATGATGTCCCGGATTTGAACTTGCAACCTCCTGCCACTGTGAGGGCAGTTTTCTAGGGAGGCAGCGTGTGTTTCCGGCCTCACATACAATGCTGACGACAGGGGCTATCATTTACTGATCACTCGCTGTTGGCCAGGTACCGTCCTAGCCTTTGCCATATAGTCACCCACTGCATCCTTCCAACAGCCGTGCAGGTGGGCGGTGGGAGTGCCCTTACCCCCTTCCAGCATCCTGCCTAGGGGCGGGGCACGAAGCCTGGACAGGTAAGCGGACAGCAAAAGTTTGCAGGAGTTCCTGGGAATATTATTTCTCCCTGGGACCTTCTCTTGCTGCCCTGGAAGCTCCCTGTTTCCCACCTCGACAGCGGTCCCCTGAAGAGGTGAGGCCTGGGGCAGAGGTGGCCATCTTGCACCCATGGGGGCAAAGCCCTGGAGGGACCCACCCAGGTTGCAGCCTGGTGAGGCTGTCCCGACAGCCAGGGCACTGCTGCCTCTGGGCTCCTTTCTCATGACTGCCAGTAACCGGACAGCCTCCCGGCCTGAGCTAGGAGGGTCCCGAAGCGCTCCTGTGGCCTCTGCCCCTGGCAAGGACAGCCCGGGGCAAACGTTAGGGGAGGAAGCAGGGAATCCACTCACCTTTCTTCTGTCGGATCCGCAGGAGGTAGAGGGCGGCAATCAGCAGGGCCACCAGCAAGGCACACACCACGCCCACCACGATGAAGATATTATTCAAGTTGGAACTTTTGTCTATGGACAAGGAAGAATGGAGGCTTCATGTACGCAAACTACAAACAAAGAAAGTCGCTACCCAGTGCCTCTGTTGACACTAGACAGCATCATTAACTGAGAACCTGGCTGGGTCTTCTCGGATGTCCTGAGCCACCTGGGCACGTTCACGGTTCTGCACCCTTGTCCCCAGGAGGGTGAACCGCGCAGCACACAAACCAGGCCGAGGTGCCAGGAGGGAAACTGGTGCTGAAGCCAGAGTGGAAACCAGGCTGCAGGACGTGGGCACGGATGGCACTCCTGAGGGACAGAGACACGCTCTCCCTCATCTGAGTGAACCAGGGTGGCCATGTGGTGACACGGGTCCATTGGAACTCAGTCACAACGGGGACAGTGAGGAGGGGCAGACATGCAGGTGACTAGTGGGCTCTGGAGACCTCTCAGGGTCTGTCCACAGACTCGCACCCGGGACCTGGGTGAAGGGGCTCTGACTCCAGGACACTTGAAATGAAGGCAAGGCCTTGGCTGGGCCCACGGCCACGGAGGGAACCCCACCCTGGAGCACAGCCGGTCACCAAGCTGCAGGCACGTGGGCTTAGATCAGCACCGATAGTTGTGTGGCCTCGAGCAAGTCACTTAGACCTCCACACTCGGGCTTCCCCCTGTTCCCTGAGGCCAAGAACAACCTTCACTACCTCGGACAGCTCTGGGGACAACTCAGTGACTGACCCAACAGCCAACTCTCTCATCCTTTCTGAAAGTATTACTTCCTGAATGCCTACTGTGTGCCAGGTTGTATCAGGGCCTGAAGCCACGTTGCCATGGTTCCCAGCAGCTGGGACTCAAAGGTAGGGTCACAAAGCTCCTCTCCTTCAGCACGGCCATGTGAAAGCAGAGGGGCCCCGAGAGAGGCACTGACTTGTCCACAGTCACCAGCAGGTCTGTGACAGACCCAGAGGTTTATCCGCACATCCTGTGTCCTAGTGCAGTGCTCACCCTATGAAAACCAGGCCTCAGTGACACCGAAGGGACACCTTGGCAGGGTCACAGGACTTCTTTAGAGCCCTCTGTCCCCTTGAAGGATGCGTGAAGAAAAGAAATGGCCTCTATTCTATCGACTCAAAGGGTCTGCTATGGAGAAGGCATAGCCATGCTCATGACAGATGACAAAACCTTCCACAGTGGCACCGAAATGCCAACCAGGTGCTGCCATTTGACAAAACAGAGACGCATGACAGCACATTGGAAGGGGCTGAGAAAGTGACACCCTTGCTCCCCCATGAAGAGACACATTACCATCACCTACATGAGCATGCACTTTGTCCTAGAAACAAGCTTTGGAAAACCGTCCCACAGAGACAGCTGCACACATGACAGAATACGTACAGGGACACTGATCACAGCGGGGGGATTATACCTGGGAAAAACCGCACAAATCCTAAGCCCCGCCCACTCCCTTTCCCGGCGGGGCGGGGGAGGGCGGCAGGCTCTCAAGGGCAGCCAGGGAGTCCAGGGAGAAGAGAGAGCGAGGAGGGGGCGGAGCTGAGGGGGCGGGGCCAAGGTGGATGGCGCTTTGGAGAACTGCTGGGTGAAGACAGCAGGAGGGCAGGGAACGGGACGGTCCCCCTCTGTCCCACCCTCTTTCTTTAACGTATACTGATGTCAAAAGATCTACGAAGACATGTACCAAACTCCTACCAGTGCTGACCTTGGGGTTTGGGGAAGGGGAGCTCACTTCAAAATTCTACTTTCTATCTACAGACTTCTAGATTGTTCTGTAGTAAGCATGCATAAATACTTATAACATTAAAAATGATAACATTTAAACAGAGCTGGTCAGTTGGAGTGGAGGCCTCACCAAAGGGTCCATCTGTGCTGTGGTCCTTCGGGTTAGCGGGGGCCTCCAGGGTGAGGTTCCTGCTGACGGCCGGCTGCCCATCGTGCTGCACCAGACAGGTGAGCACCACGACCTCCCCGCGAGCAGATAAATTCACCAGCATCCAGCTCCCCCAGGTGAAGGTCCCATCCTTGTTCTCTACTCGAGTTAAGGGTGTTTCTGTTCGGGACATATTTCCGTTCTTCAACCAGGTCAGCCGTAGGTTCTGGGGGTAGAAGTTCTTCACCTGGCAGGTGACGTTCACCTGGTTCTCTGACATGGCGTGTTTAACCTCCAAGGTGGGCGGAACTGAAACAGCACAGGGCAGAGGCTCTGACCTCGTGGACACACAGATCACAGAGGATCCCCATAACGTAGCTCCCCCATCACAGCAAGGGGTAATTCAGGACAGCGCTAACTAGGCAGCAGCTGCTCAGAACTCAGGGCTTGCTTTTCATGTGAAAGAAATCACTAAGCACAGCACCCTGCACACAGTAGGTGCTCAGAAACTGGGACCTGCTATCAGGGTAATAAGAGTGAAATCACCAAGCACAGCTGTGGCATGCAGCTGGAACATAATCACTGGAGCAAAATAAGTGAAAACACCAAGCGCATAGAGGCCAGGTAAACAGTAGGTGCCCAGTTATTGGAGTTGCTCTTGGTAAAGCAGGTGAAACTACCAAGCAGAGTGGTAGGCGTTCCCCTGGTCACTGCCATTAAACAGTGGTGAGTGACAGGCACCTCCAGGGCCTTGTGATGGGAAGGACTGTCGGGAATTACATTCCAGGGAAATCACACTCTGGAGCAAATGGCCGGGGGAGGCACAGGCTTGGAGGGTAGGAGCCAGGTGTGGGCTCGGGCTGGGTGTGAGGGCATCTACCTCGGATGATCTCAGACAGGTTGGCAGTCCCACGAAGAGGAGGGCCCCCCTTCAGGGTGACGTGTTCCACCTGGCAGATGACCTGGGAGCGGACATCCCCCCGGGCCAGCCGCACCGAGGCTGTGCTGGAGATGCTGTAGGAAGGGCTGTCTCCCTCTGGGTCCACGGTGGTCTGGGAGGCTGGGAGCTCATTCCCATCTTTGAACCATTTCAGGATGACGTCCCTGGGGGAGAAGCCGTGGGACTCGCAGGTGAAGCTCACTGTCTGCCCAGGTGTGGCCCTCCCCGTGGGGGCTGACACCATGGGGGGAGAGGGTTGGGCTTTAAAAGGAGCACAATGAAAAATAAACATGACTGTGATCATCACCACCAATGACAAGCATGTGACATTGTCAAGAACCTTCTCATATTATTACGTTTTATCCTCTAACAATGCTGGGAGGGCATGTCATTATCCTCATCCTACACAGCAGGACACTTGGGTCCCCAGAGGTAAACTCTGCGTGAGGGGCAGGGCCCACAAGCAGCTCCAGGCCTGAGTTCAAAGGGCACCTTCCTTCGTCCCCAGGTGACCTCCCACCCCTCTGGGCTCGGGAACAACTGTACTGAGCTCTCTCCCTCTTCCTATTAACTTTCCTGTCTGGCCTCCCTGACACCTCCCTGACCTCACAGACAGTGTTCACAGAGTAAATGTGGGGGAAGCTGTGGGGACTGGGACCCCATGAAGTGCAACAGGTCTGGTAGCCAGGAGAGGTGGGGCCGGGGCACATCCCTGCCCATCTGTCACAGGGGACAGCAGGCACTTCTCCTTCCCGGGCTGCAGGGAGGGTTAAATCAGGTAACGGAAGCTGTTTTGCTTTGAGTAAAACAGAAGATGCTTCACAAAAATAAACAGACACAAACACGTTATGAAATTGGACGCAGTTACATCCAGAACTCTCCCTTCAGGTGTTTACAAGTTTCCCCCCTGGTTTTCGTCCTGTCCACACACATTCCAGTGAGGGCGAACCTGTGCCAACCCCTGAATTTCAAAGGGGGGGGGTGATGGGACGTGTTTCTGAATTTGGGGTCTTCTCAGTTTGGGGATGAAAATAAAGTTCACTGAGTGCTGAGAGAGCTAAATGTAAATAATTTTATTTATTTATTTATTTATTTATTTATTTTATTTATTGGGTCACATTGGTTAGTAAAATTCTATAGGTGTCAGGTGTACGATTCTATAATACATCATCTGTATATTGTATTGTGTTCACCACCTCTAGTAAAGACTCCTTCTATCACCATTTGTCCTTCCTACCCCCCTTCCCCTCTGCTCATCACCACACTGTTGTCTGTGTCTATGAGGTTTGTCGTGGATTTTTTTGCTTAATCCCTGCACCTCTTTGACCCAACCCTACAACCTGCTCTACTCTAAGTCGTTTTCTTAATCATTAGTAAATCAGAAGAGACACAGACGCAGGCCCACAAAGCAGGAAGGACTCCTGTGTCCCGAAAGCATCCACACATCACAGAATCCAAAGTGAGAGAAATCCAAATCTTCCTCCTGGAGAAAGATTCTGCAGGGTGTCTTGAAATTGTTAGTATTACCCAACACCATCTCTAACAGCGGGCACACAGCAAATATTACCAAGTGTTTGCATCTATAAATATCTAACTTGCTTCCTAAACCTCATCAAACATTTTGAGGACATAGATAAAGGGGTGTCACTTGAATAAGTCAAGTCATAAAAACACCAGCAGCCTGTATGTCCCTGGGGGGATGGACACTGGGATTGGGTACCACTGATCAGGAGCCTCTTGGTCTCCTGATGATGGGCTGAGGCCTCTGTGCCCCTCAGCTACTCACCCTCCCAACGCCCTGCAGGCCACCCTGGGTGGACTCACTTGTGGGAGGAGGCTGAGAGGGGAACCCGGCTGGCCAAGGGCACACTGGGAGCAAAGGGCAGAGCTCATCTCTCTGCACTCGGGTTAATTTTAGCAGCTCTTTATCCTTGAGCCTCAGTGTCTGTTTCTGCACAGAGTGGATGGAGACACCACCAGGCAGGAGGAGTGAGGAGGTGTGTATAACACAGAGACCAGCATGTGGAAGGTGCTTAATAAATAACACCTATGACTGTTAGCATAAGGCCTGTCTTTCTAGTTCTGAAACCACCTTTTCTTTAGGCAGTAAGAAGGGGAGAAAAAGCATAGTGGGGACACCAACAAAAGTCTCAAATTGTGCTCCCCACAGCGGCCGTGCAAAACCCAGATGAAGAAAGCAGAGAAACGCCAAATTATGGTTCTCTCCCTTAAAAAAAAATGATCCCTTCAGGAAACAAGTTTGATGAACTGACTTTCAAAACACACAGGAGATCTGAGGAGTTTCCCTACAGATCAGCTCTTTGCAGAAGCTGGAAGCATTTTGGAAAAGGAGAGCAGATTTCGGCAGTGACGTGCTGGTGTGTTGGGGCAGGAAGGGCTCTGGGGCTGGGCAGTGAGTATTTGTGGGATTTCAGAGCCTGCTCAGACACACAGGGGCTTAAAGATGGAAGGCGTCCCCAGCCATGGAGCTCAGATCTCAGGGGGTGTCCCGGCTGTGCGTCCTCAGGCCTAGAGAGAGCAGAGTGCCACTCTCAGCCCTGGCCTGCTCTGTGGGAGGTGTCCCTGCCCCTCCACTCAGGCTCATTTTCTTGGGCCTCTGATGAGCCGTCTCTGGCACATGAGATTCTGAAGCACCCGCACCACCCAAAGGTGTTGTTCTCACAGCCCCAGCAGCAGGGGGAGCCACCTTTGTCAGGGGAAAGAATACAAGGTTTCCTCTGTGACCCCAGACAATGCCTAGCTCAGGCCTCTCCATCCTGACTGTGCACTAGCAGCCTCTGGGCAGTTAAAAAATTCAGCTGCCAGACCCACCCACACCTGAGCAATTAAATTGATTCCCAGGATGGAGCCAGGTGATGCCAGTGAGCAGCCAAGGTTGAAAGGCACTGAACCCCACCTCTAACCCCACCATATTGAAGCCTGGAAAGGAAAGTGTCCCATCCAGGGTCCTATGGCCTCAGCCTGTCATAGCCCACAGTCACCGAACATTTACTACAGGTCAAGCACCACTCTGATCACCTCACATGTGTTTACTCAGTCATTGGAGCTGCTCTGTGAGGTCAGTGCTGTCACTGACAGGTGAGGACACCAGGCACAGTGTGGGGAGTGATGTGTCAGAGGTCACAGGCCAGGAAGTGGCAGAGCTGGGGTGTGGGCCCAGGCATGGGGGCTCAGCACAGGTGCTCACCCGCTGGGCACTGATGCTCGGTGACATCTGCCCACCAGGGGCTTTCTAGACATCCCCTCTTGTACTCACAGACTCCTGAGGGGGAGCTGGGATTACCACCCCTGCACAGACAGGGAAACTGAGGACCCCAGGGGCACCGAGACTTGCCCAGGACCACAAGGCTCCCTGTATGTTCATAGCACCCTGCCAAGGTTGGTGGGACTGCCCACTTCTGCAGGTGGCACTCTGTGCTCAAACCTTCCCACTCTCCTAAAGTCCACGGTTATCACCATTGTACTGATGAGGAGACAGGCGAGGGACTGTCTTCTCACCTGCCACTGTGTCCCACAAACTTCCTGTGACCCCAAGCTTCATGTCCATCTATAGGGCAGGCGTCCCACTTGCAGGAGCCTGACATTGACCCCTCTTCTGTTCCCTCTGAGATTCTCGACTTCAAGCAATTACAGGGAGGCGTCGGTCACCTCTGAGTGCCCAGGCCTGGGGACCCTGCACCAATAAACATTGGAAGACGTGGGCTCCAGACAACTGGGTCTAGAATTTGAACTCTTGCTCTCCTGGGGCCCAGTACCCTTTAGAAAATGTTTCCCCCTCCTCATCCTCAGCCTGCAGGTCCTGAATTGCAATACATGGTGTTGCTGGGGGTGCAGTGACCCCCAGTGACCCTCCAGGCCACTGTCCCCAGGCTGCTCCTGCAGGTGCTCACTGAAAGACAAACAGCACAACAGATGGGGGAAGCCCCCCGAACCCTTTTGTATGCTGAGCCATGTCATTAGGAGCAGGGCCTGCACATCACAGGATATTTGAGCGTCTGTCTCATCTGAGTTGTGAAACTACTTCCACGTCCCCACACGGGACTTCCTTTCCAATGCCTATTGCTGAAGAACAGAACACCACAAGATTTTAAAGGAGAGGCTGCAGCTTTCTGCACATGGTGACAAGCACAGTGTGTATTGCAGAGAGCAGGGGCTGTGAGTCAGGGTGCTCGGGGTTCAAATCTTTTCTCCTCATCCTGCTCAGGTCAGGTCCCCTCTCTGAGCATCAGTGTCCTCACCGGTCAAAGGGGCAACAGAGGCCCCTCCTTCACCACACTGGTTCTAAGGTAAATGCCACGATGAAGACGTGGCTCCTGCCCCCTCCCCCTCCCTGCCTTCTCACCCAGGGCGTCCTCCGGGCAGGCAGCTTGGGGAGGAGGAACCAGCATCTGCCAGGAGACAGCAGACCTCAGAGGGAGCCAGTTACTACCTGTGATGGCCCAGACAGGGGAGATACCACCGGGGAACTTTTGTAATAGCTGAAGATTCAGGGAAAGTCCCATTCTCTGCCCATGTCCAGGGGTCGTGGGGAGACTCCATTGCTACCACGTGTAGGAGGGAATTTGGCAATTAAAATGCACACACCCTCTGACCCAGCAATGCCACTTCCAGGGGGCATCTCCTTCTTGAGCAAATGACACAAAGACAAGGTTCTCCCCTGCATCACTGTCCTAGTATCCAGAGGCTGGGAACAACTTATATCCATCAGGAGACTGTTAATGAACGACTCCGTCTCCATACACTGCAGGGTGAGGCAGCAGTTGAAGAAGGGGCAGCTCTAGGTGCTGATGTGGGTGCTTGATTTGGGGGGATGGGGCTGAAGGCTGGGAGAGGATTTCTGAAGCACCTTGGGCTTCAGGGTCTGATTGTGAGGGGCATTTGAACCTTTCAGAAACTGATGGAAAGGAGAAATGCCGGCTCCATGGTTCATGGTTTGTTTTAGTGAGCTTTTATCGAGTGTGTACAGGCATCAGGCTCTTTGATGAAAAGAGTGTCCAAAGTTGGGGCAAGAAATAGCGGCCTGGAATCAGCTAGGGCTCTGGGACGATTCCTTCAGTCACTGGCCATAGACTGTGGGCAAGGCCCCTGCCACCTGTTGGCCTCAAGTACCCGTCTGTGCGTGGGGGAGGTGGGGTTGGGCTGGATGGTCTAGAGGTTGATGTGGGCTGACATGCCAGGATTCAGGACCCTGGGCCTCTGGCGAAAACCTAAATGAGCTCTTTTGCGGCCTCAATGGGATAACTCCTATGTCACCCACTGGGGGCACCTCCTCTTAGGCTGAGGGACAGTGTGAGAAAACTCTGCTCAGAGCCTAAGTGACAGTGTGACCGGGTCCCTGAAATAAAGGGGGTTCATCAGACAGACCCACGGTGAGCGGCCCAACCTCTGGCACCTCCTCCCAGCAGGGCTGGCAGAGTGAACAGGAGTCTGTGCCCCTTGGGAATGTCTTCTCATGTGATGCTTCTGAGGAGGGAATAAAGGAACACGTCCCCCTCCCTGCCCTGCGTGGATCTCCCCCAACTGCAGGGAGGAGAACGAAGCTCCGTGGGGAAGAGCTCTGCCTGCTCAGTCCCCTGCAGCTCCCACAGCACCCAGAGGGGAGCCTGGCTCCCAGCAGGTGTCAGTGAGTGTCAGGGAGGGGGGCTCGGCCACACTGAGGGGAGGGCTCTCTGGAGGCAGGGGTGAGGTCTGACCTCATGATGGGCAAGTCCCTCAGACCTTCAGTTCCCTCATCCCTGGACGAGGGGGTTAGATGGGATTGGAAAAGACAAGGGCAGAAAGAGGGTCAAGCAGAGGGCTCCAGACATTTCCCACCATTTACCAGCTGTGGGGCCTGAGAAAACAGCAGGACATGCCAAGGCCTCAACTTCCCTGACCTGCAGAAGGAGTGACATCAGACCAGGAATCAGACCCTGACTATGAGCACCCACCACCTGATTCCTAGTTGCTGCTATTAAAACAAAGGTCTTTCTTATGGACTTGTTGCCACACAGCAGGGACAAAGTGTCCCACTTTGTACTCACCACTCACAGTGAGCCGAGTGCCTGCCCCAGACCTGAGCTCCGTGTCAGGGCTTCCTCTGCGGAACTTCACACAGTAGTAGGTACCAGTGTCTGCTGGGGTGATGTTACTGATGCGGATGGAAAAGTCCGTGTTGTTTCTCCTCGTGGCGTCTGCAACACTTGTTACTCGGGGAGAGTGGCCTCCTTTGTGACTGTAGATTAACTCCCGGCCTGGCCCTGTCCCCCGGAACCACATGACAGGCCCCACGGGGTAAATGGAGGTCACGGTGCAGGTGAGAGTGGCCGTCTCTCCTGCTGCCACTGCCACTGACTTCTCAGGCTGAATCACCTGCAGCTCCTCACCTGCCTCTCCTGGAGGGAAACACAGAACAGAGTTTTTTTTTTCATCCATTTGTGATCATGTAGATTTTGTCAATATTTATTAAAAACAGTGGGCCTTGAGCTCAGCACATTGCATGTGCCATACATGTAACCTTCACGGTGAACCTGTAATGTGAGGGCCTGTTATGAAAGGTGGAACCGAGGCACAGAGAGGTTAAGTGATGGGGCAGAGCGTGGGTCTGAGCTCCCGAGCCCGCTCTGGAAGAGTCATGTCTGAGCTGGGCTCTGAACTCAAACCTGAACTCAACAGGAAGAAAGGGACACAGCCTTCCTAGGAGAAAACGGGCAAAGGCTCAGAGGTGGGTGGCAGCTTCGTGTGTGTGTGAGGGGCGCTCTAGGGGGCTGAGCTTTTGTTCTGGACCTGGCCCCGGAAGCCAGACTCAGCAGCTGGGGCTCCTGCAGGCTGTGAAGCAGTGAAGCAGGAGAACTTGGGTGTGGCTCAGGGCTGGCTACTGTGTGACCTTGGCCATCACTGAGAGAATCCGGTGGGGACTCTGGTGAGTGCACTTGATACTGTCAGGTACCACGTGAATGTCAGTGCTGCCCTTAGGCGGGCAGGTCCCTTCACTGTGTTCTCAGCCTTCGTGTCGTCATCTGTCAAACAGATGACCCCATTTTGATGTGCCCTGGCCCAGGATACACCAACAAGCCTGGGCCAGGATAGTGTCCAAAGGAAACATCTGGTCTTTGAAGCCACCTGACCTGGTTAGAAACCCAGTTCACCTTTTACATACATCTAACCGAGTTTCCCCATTGGTCTTGGGTCTCAGTTTCCTTATCCACAAGATGGGTGGACACCCCCTAGTCTCTGTTTTAAGTCACCGAGCACCACACTGGGTGCGGGAGAAGGTACCATCATTATACAACGAGTAAATGAGGGCCGGTCTACTTCTGAAACTTCACTTCCATTGGCTCTAGCTCACACTGATGCTCGTGCAGGCCAGGCCGTGCTGGGTGCTGGGTGCTGGGGACACACAGGAGAGGGACCTGGTCAGGCCTCAAGGGCTTCTAGACTGGGAATTTGGAAGGAGTCCTGGAGGTCGGTGATAGGGAGAGAGGCCTGAGCCCCAAATCGGAGAGAACTGGGCACGTGAGACAGACTCTGGGCACGGGAGATGGGGGAGGGGCGGACCCAGCCAGGAGGAGGGACAGGCAGGTGAAGGCCCTGTGAGATGCGCTGCAGGCGCTCAGAGCCAGTCACAGCCAGGGCCCTGATTCTGAAGAAGGTGGGGCGTGGGGATGGATCATAAAGACCTTGGGAGGGGAGGGAGAGTTCTCTCTCTTTCTCCAAAGATAGGCAGAGGGAGAGAGAATGAGGGAGACAGTAGGGAGGGGACAGAATAAGAAAGATGGAGACACGGACTGGCGGCAGCCCATTACAGGTGGAGAAAGGCCATCTGGTCTCTGGGAGCTCCATCGCCAGCAATGTGACGCTGTCCTGTCCTGACCTAGGCCACTACCGCCTTGTACGTCAGACAGGGCTGCAGCTGATGCTCTGAGCGGCCTGCTCTGGCTCTGGCTGGGCAGGAAGGAGACCTCGTGCATTTGCCCACCAGCCAGTGGCCTGGCACCACTGCACTGGTGGGGGGGGGTCCGAGGGAGGGGAGGCCCATGGACTCCATCTCCCCTCACAGGAGCAAGCCCAGGGCCTCAGGTCAGACCGCTCATCCCCTGCCTATAGTCCCAGCCCTGATTCCCAGGCCAGGATTGTCCTGTTCTCATGGTAGGTGAGCAGAAACTCAGACTGGTGGCCTGACGGCAGCCAGGCCTCTAAGGTACAGGGAAGAAACCAGAGTCCACAGAACACAGGGGCTTGGGGTGCGGCAGGTGTGTGACAGGCACACAGAGGAAGTCAATAGAAGCTGGCAGTGACCCCGAGACATCTGGGGCAGCACCAGCAATGCCAACAGCATCCAGTCGGGAACTTTCCCAGTGGGTCTGCATTCCAGCGTGGACACTGGACGAACTGCTGCCGGTGGGCCTGGGGAGAGCAGGGGTGCCCCTTAGCCAGCTTGGCAACTGCACCCTCCCCGGGCCTTCACTCCACACAGTGGCCATCTGCCACTCACCCCCCATGACAGTCATGAGGACCATGACACAGCTGGACATAGGTGCTGCACTGAGGGGCTGGTTAAACTTTAGTTTCTGTTCCCACTATGATCACAGACACATTACTTATATGCTTGATTTTCTCTGAATTGCCATGTCTCCCAAACGAAACGCAGGATCCATGAGGACTCTTTCCAACCCCGTCCACAGGTGCCTGGCACACACCAGGCCCTCAGTAACGACATGTTGAACGCACCCATGAATGAATGAGCGAAGAAAGATTTTAACTTGCTCCCGGGTAAACCCCCTCTCTGACCCTCTTTCCTTGTCTGTTAACAAGGCTGTGACCAGCAAGCCTGGGGCCTGGGACTGCATCTGGCCCGCAGACAATGTCTGTAATGCGTGGCCGTTATTATTATCTTTATCAATAACACCGCGCAGGCTGTGAATCAGCGCTTGTGAGGGGAGTGGTGTGAGCAGGCGAGCAGGCTGCAGAGCCAGGCTGCACACGTGAGCAGGGCTATTGCTGGGGCACGCCCAGGCCCGCAGTCGCACGCAGGCAGGCGGCAGTGAAATCTGGAGCTGTGCACGGCTGCCCCCACCCGCCTTTAAGTTCCCTCCACCAAACGCAGCCAGATTTAGGCGGCTTAATTAATTAGCTGGTGTTTATAAAGTGTTTGAAGAATTTTAACGGTGCAACATAAGTGCCAAATATTATTTTAATCTGTGCATGTGTGTGTTTTTTTGTGGCAGAGAATTTTTTTCCTGCTTGCTTGCTTTTTCTTTTTCTCTGCAGGTTCTGTTCTGGGCACCGGGCTTGTTCAAACTCACTTCTGCGGTTCTGGGCCTGTTGTCATCATGCTGCCATTGCTGACAAGACCACTTCCTGGTCTCTCCTGCCCTCCGGGCAGACGGAGCGACTGTCCAGGGGCCTGAACCATCGGCCTCTGGGAGAGGAGGGCTGCTGGTGGGAGTGGACACTGGAGCACCCTTTCGGGAGAGCAGTTTGGCAGGATGTACCAAAGGGGTGAGAGCTCTCTGGAGTGGGGTTCCTGAATAACGACCTTGAAAAACGTGGGGGAAAACCCAACGGTCGATGATAGGGAATGGCTGGGTGAATCGTGGCTTGTACTCTAGGTGGAATTACAGGTGCCATGAAAGGCGATCATAATGAAAACTGTGGTAACCTGGGCATTTCTACATGGCATAATTTTAAATGATGGTGTGACTACGCAAATAAAACCTGTTCACTGCAAAGCATTCAGAGGGAAAAAAATATAAACACAAAATAATGAAAAAAAACCCAAAACAATGACCATCAAAGACAACTGAGTTCAACATTCTGATGTAGTTAAAATATGAATGAATCAAAACAATGTAAAATTATACTCAGATAACTAAAGCTATGTACAGACATTCTGCTTCATCCATTTGGTTCTGATAAAAATAAAAACTGGAAATAGCCTAATGTCCAAGAAAAAGAGACCAGCTGACGCCGTGATGCTGAACCCACACGAGGACCAAGTCTGTCACCCCGAAAACGATGGCCCAGGACCGCAGTGACCGACGGAGACATGTCGGGATTCACAGTTATTTGCTGAGCGACATTTTCACTGTGGTCCCAGACTTCTAGTTTTGACGAAAAAGATATGTGATAGTAAAGATCAGCAGTGATTAACGGTGAGTGGTAGATTTATAAGAAATTTTGTTTTTATGTTTTCAGTTTGCATTACTCGTGTGATAAAAAGTAAGAAAAACTATGGTTCAGTGGGCTCGTGACTTCATAAAGCAAAACAAAACTGCGCATAAATAAGCAGCTGCAAGATAAACCTATAACACACAAGTCTCTTTGGATCACGAATCCAAGGCCGATGGGTTTTTCTTTTTTTCCCTTCTATTTTGGGGAGTTTTCAGATTTTCTAAACTGAATGAATATTACAGAATATCTACAGTATCCCACTTTGTAATAAGAAGAATCGGTACAAGTAGTACGTATGTTACATATCGGGTGTGGCAAAAGTAGGTTTGCAGTTGTGAGTACGTGGAACAGAGTTTACTTGTTGCATTATTATTCATTAATCATCGTATCGTTTTCCCTCTGAACAACTGTAAACTACTTCTGCCCACTCTGCACGTGTTTATTGTTTGAATGGCCCTCCCAAGAAGTCCGTCTGCTCACCGCTATTTCCTCAGCCCCTGGCACAGGGCTTGGCGCGGAGCGAATGCTCAGTGAACATGTGCAGGCTGACTGACCGATGGACTGTCCAGAGTGATGGACCCCGTAATGCTGAGGGGTGTTACATCTGGGAAATAGGACGGGGTGGACACATTTTCTTTTTACTCTATAGTACATAATATATTGAAGCCTCTCTCTCTGTCTCTTTTGCAGTGAACACTTATTGCTTTGGGAAAAAATTAAAATAATGAATAAAACCCGTGAGGAAGTTTTCTGATAAAAGGAGTCAGCACAGTGGGTGGTGCCGCCCCGTGTATTTGCTGTTAGAGGCGGCCCACGGGCACCCCCAGCCCAGAGGCGGCCAGTGATGAATTACTGGAGTCTGTTGAGCGCCAGGCCCTGGGCTGAGCAAGGGCTGTGGGGCGGCTCTGTCCTTGGCCTCGTGGAGCTTGCTCACAGCAGAGAAGACAGACTTTAAAGAAATAGATCGAGTGATTACACTGGGATGAACCCCAACCCTTCAGAGAAGTTGCCATCTCCGACGCCATCCCAGGGACCTGCGGGTCCACCCCACCCTTGTCTCCTCCGCCTCCCACAGCCAGGCCAAGGAGGTGTGAGTGACAAGGTGAGATGGGGCCTGAGAACGGACCACCAGGCTTGGAGATATGTATGTTTCCCGTGTTCATGTGTGGCTTTCGAGATTAACAAAAAATGAAAACCATTTTTATTATGAGTGAAAAGTAAG